AAAAAAAGAATCTCTGCAAAAAGCAGCCCCCAGCATGGGCTGTGGGACAGCAGGATGTCTGCCAGAGCTGCCAAACCAAGAATAAGCACAGCAGAACAAGAAAAAAAGCCAAGGGAAAAAAAGCAATAAAAAGGCAAATACATACCCTAGTCCCAAAGAAACTCACTGAGCACAGGAGGCAGGTTTTGGAGGGACTAAGTGGAAATGTCGTGGGTTTGCTAAATATACCATCGCAGCATTCTTTGAAGTTGGTTGCTTTGTCTTTAATTGCCAAGAAGTGACTGAAGTAAGTGCTGTGCTCCTGGAACAGCCACCTGCTGCTCTCTGGGGAGTCAAACACGTGAACAGCATTGGGCTGCAGGCTGGCCAGGGCCACCCAGCTTCACACAACCCCCTCCCTGTCTCCTGCCGTTCCGTACCGACAGACGCTGGATGTCTGCTCGGGGTGTGCTGGACCTGGAGCGCTGGGTGTCCATGAGCTCCGCCTTATTTCAGCAGCACAACACATGCAACGCCCCTTTCAAGCCTAGGAGAAGAGACTGCGCTGAAAACAGAAGGGGATTTTAGCTCTTTCCATGTTCTCTAAACTACTGGAAAGTTTGGAACCAAGGGAAACCAGTTCTCTCACTCTCAGGCACCAGTTTAAAGGAGATAACCTGAGGTCTCATCTTCAGCTTTCCCCTGAAAGGGGTGGCCAAGGGAAGAGGAAGAAAAACCCAGTCAGCATATCTTGAGCTAACCCTTTGAAGTGACTGGACTTCCTTCAACACCCAGATTACATCATTTCATCTCCTGACTATTGTCAGTGTGACCCACAAGAAAATCACGCGCCCTGGCTGACCGCTGCACAGAGTCTGCTCTTTGGTTTGATAAGCACCAGTCACCTCACCAGTGGCCACCTCGTACGAGACCTCTTCACACAACCTCTGCCAGGAGACAAGCAGGCCATCAGCTCTGGCCTTCCACTCTGCCACCACCACTTGCAGGACTGTGCTCCCTGTAAAAAGCAGAGGTGTCTTGGCCACCCCAGAGCAGGAAAGCACAAGACTTTTTAAGAGGCCACCAGGCTAATTAAACATTTCTGCTTGGACGAGAATCTTGATTCTACAAATCAAGCACGAAACCAGGAAATCACCTCCAGCAACAGCTGTTGTGTTCAGTGAACACAGCCACGGAGTCCTCCAGCATAGGAAGGGAGGTTGGTCACAGACCTCCAAGCATCCCTAGCACATGAAGATGTGTGATGCTCTAACACTGGAAGATGCTCTCCCAAATGCCAGGGAAAGCTGGTGCTGAAGGCACAGGGCTAGCCAGATGACTCAGAGCAGCACAAAGGCAGCAGCACAGCTGAGTCATGTGTCCCTGTTTCCAGCAACACAGGTCAGGTCTTTCATGCCTCCTGCAAGATTATGTCATTGGGTATTTAAATATCACCCATCTTCATGTCACTTCTCAGCCTGTGGTTTACTGTCCCTCCCTCCCCCACCCCCTCCAAGGCTGATTCACAAAGACTTTTTTATTCTTATTAAGCTCAGTGAGACAAAATAATTCTATTTGGGAACAAATGGTGACAGCTAGAAAGAACAGTGAGCAGAAATCTTTCTGTTGGCATCAGCTGGTGCTGCAGCCCCACCACCCAGCTCAGATGGTGGCACCACCATGGCTGGGGCTGGTTCTGGAAGAGGAGACCCACCTCCTAAACCAGGCCTGATGGTTGGGATGTGTCACTAACCCAGCGTGGAGGACACAGGGGCACTGTGGTGGGATGGGTTCATGCCACTGAGCTACTGCTATCCCCATCTGTCTTCCACATTTCAGCTATGTTATTAAGGCCACCAGTTTCAGATATGAAAGAGGTTGATCTAAGGGCAAGGGACACATCCATGCAGGACAATGCAGGCATGCCCAGGAAGCTGTGAACTACAGTGGCACGAGCTGCCAAGGGTCCACCAAGTGTCACAGAATCCTAGAATCAGTGAGGTTGGAAAAGACCTTCAGGATCACAAAGTCCAACCGTCAACCCAACACTACCATGACCACTAAACCATGGCCCCAAGTGCCACGTCTGCACGTTTTTTGAACCCCTCCAGGGATGGGGACTCCAGCACCTCCCTGGGCAGCCTGGGCCAAGGCCTCACCACTCTGGCAGGAATGAAATTCTTCCTCATATCAAACTCTCCCCTGGTGTAAAAGGAAAATTTCCTCCTGGTGCAGAGGAAAATTAGCAGAGGAAAAATTTTAAAAAATAAACCCACCACACATGTGTATTGTAAAAGAAGCTTTGGAATCAAAACTGCTGGACTGAGACATTACTGACAGAAAGAGAAATTCCTGAAAAGAACAGTCAGGTCAAAGAGATGACATCTATCAAGGCTGGAGAGCTCATTAGTCTCATCCAGGCTGCTGAGTAAAGTTAATTGCAGACCATGGTAAGGTGAGGTTTGCACCTACACCCTTCCTCCTGACAGCAAGGAGATCAGCTGCAGGACACTTCAGGTGCCAACACCCATCAATTCACCAGCTCCTTGACCAAGAGCTCAAAGGCTGCCCAACCAGTCCAAGCAGTTAAAAAATGAGATTACCTAGCTTCCCAGGAATTGGGAAAATTTTTGTTTGGCTTCCATGATTTAATGCCCTTCAGCTGACCATTTTGTGCTGCATCCAACATCAGTGCCTGCATCCATCCACCACACCCCCATGCTCTGCTTACCTGCCCCCTCCAGCCCACCTAGAAAGAGGTCTTGCACTATCTAGAGGTAGAGCTGACATTATAAAATGAAATCCTCATTTTTCACTCCAAATATTTTAACCCAGAGTCTTTCCCATTGTAACCAAAAGGTTTTTCTTAGGCACAGAGCTTGGACATGAGTTTGGATTCACGACACCAGCTTTTTCACAGAAGGTAGCTTGCCCAAGTCAGACACACTCAGAAGGAGATGATGACAAGCTTCTCCACATGAGATGCTGAATAAAGCACCATGAAAACCATCCTTAGGAGTCCCCAGCCTACTTTGCATAAATGCTGACAGGAAAACCAGACTGAGATGTGCAACTGCCTGGGAGATGCACTCAAGGGAGACCTCATGCTGTGGCAGCAGCATTGCTGGTGATGACCAAGGTCGTGCTGCTCAGAGCCAATCTGGGCACTTCTGGGTGAAGCACCGTGCTGGCAGCAGGCATACAACCAGTCCTGAGCACAGTGTAACCCTCTGTCAGGAAAGAAATTCTTCCTCATATCCCAGCAAAACCTCCCATGGTGTAATTTAACCCCATTTCCTTCTGTCCTATTGCTGGTTCCTTGGGAGAAGAGACCAACGCCCACCTCACTCCAACCTCCTGTCAGGGAGTCGTAGAGAGCAAGAAGGTCTCCCCCCAGCGTCCTCTTCTCCAGACTAAACACCCCCAGGTCCCTCAGCCACTCCTCACAAGCCATGTTCCCCAGAGCCCTCACCAGCTTCATTGCCCTTCTCTGGACCCGCTCCAGCCCCTCAAGGTCTTTCTTATCCCATAGTGCCCAAAACTGACCCCAGTGCTCAAGCTGTGGCCTCCTCAGTGCCAAGTCCAGAGGTACAATTGCTTCCCTAAGGTCAATTCCTTCTCCTTCCATTAGCCTGGCTGGTGGCAGCCTCGTCCTGCT